TTTAGTACTTGGATACTAGTTCATGTATTTTGGATATCAGTTAGTATCTGCTAACGAATCTTCAAGTTAGCAGATTAACTTTTCCCATTAATGATAACTAGTTTTTTGGCCCGCGCTTCGCGGCGGTAAGAAACTAATTATATTAAAAATCTCTTCTACTCATTTAAGTATTTAGATGAAAATAAGATAATTCACAAAATAGTTCAGGTAAGATGCTTTCATAAGTTTTATGTAGTGTCTAAATAATTATGAAATTTACAAAATAACAATCCTTTTTATTAATTTTACATAATATATTCTTCATTTACATAATCATTATAAAACGATGTTACATTGTTCTACTATAATGTGTGGTCTAATAATAAAATTAAGTTACAAAAAGATCTCACATTAGGGTAAATTTTATGTAAAATTAATTTTTCTTACGGAACCTTCCAGTAATGAAATTTGATGAAATAATGTATATTGTATGTAATAATAAAGGAATTTTATTCATAATAAATGAATTAAGTTATGAAAAGTATCACAGATTAAAATGTTTGGTTACCATGTATTTCTTTAAAACTTATATGCAGAAGACTTACATATTATGCTATTAAATTGATACATAAAAAATTACTATCCTTTCATATACTTTACGTAGTGTCTTAGTCATTACGGAACACTTATTTAATGCGTTTTGTTTAATTGATACAGGAGTAATAACTATTCATATGTAAGTTGTACGTAATTTTCATAAAATAGTGTTAAGTAAATCTTCCGTAACATGTGGTCTAACAAAAAAATCAAGTTATGGAATGGAAGTATCACATTCGAATTCGATTAAACTATTGTGTAAAAGTTAACTTACCTTACAAAACTTTTGGATGATGTGAACTTATAAGATGGAAACATTATGATTAATAATAAGTCTTACTTGATGTATTTGTACTACGTAACTCTTTCATTGCGTGGAAAGAAAAATATAGAAATAGTTGATTAAAGGAAAAAAGAGTTTGTGATGGGCAACATTTAAGTGGACATTATTATGTTTTTGTAGTTTAGTAATTCTAATATCATATCAGACACTGACTATTATTCTGTCTTTGTCAATGATTTGCACTTGCTCCTTGCAACTCTAGGACATCAATGGAATATCTAAGTTAATCAATACCAATGACCTGTGGTAGAAGGTTGGGTATCACACATCATCCATTCCATACTTATCATCTATAAAAACTTTCATGACTGTAATACCATGAGCAATGTAGTTAAAAGAGCGATTCTACGTAAAAGCATTTTGGTGATCTTGAAACATAGAATAGTAAGCTTTTAAGTTTGTTAGCGTAGATTTTGAGACTACACTTGTAAGAGAAAAGTGTGATTCTACATAAAAGCATTTTGGTGGCCTAAAAATAAAAATAAAAATTTTTAAGTTTTAAATCACGATTTTGACTGTATTGGTCATGAGCATAAAAAAACACGAATTTGTTGTAATGCTTCATGTGTGTGAGTGTTTTTCATTGATCCGCTATTTTCTTTGGAAATTTTTTAAATACTATCTCTATTTTAATTTGTTTTATCTTATATAGTAGCTGTGAGACAATGTTACATAAGCATTGTTACGTAAATTCCTAAGTTATCTGACATGTCTTATTTAATTGTTACATGAGAAATAATTGTTGTTTTGTAATATTTATTTATTGTATTTTCATCTTACATAGTGTAAAATGATATTATGTGGGTTTTTTACGTAGCGTGTCGGACAATTATGAAAATCTCAAATAACACGACTAATTTAACAATTACGTAAACAATAATTGTCATTTAAGAATCTTTACATACTAAACGTAACGAATCATTGTCATGGATTCACATAATTAAAAACAAAATCAACCTAAAAGGAAAAGGGAACCATCAATTTATAGAAAGGAAACAAATAGAGGAGCTCGGCCAGCCTCCATGCCGTACCAAAGGTGGGCAATATATGAGATTATAACATTGAAACCGGCTGTATCATATAAGTTCCCCCCAATGAATAGTGATAAGGGAGATAAAATCGTAAGGAACAGTGAATATACCTATGGTTTACTTACGGTTTAATTAATTAATTAATGTTGGAAGGTTAACATCTGCCAAACATTGGGATCAACAATTATGGAGCGGATACTATAACAACAGTTCATTTGTTGTTATAGTAACAACATGATTCATTAATTAAGGGCATAAGGGTAAACTTACCCATAATCTAATAAAATAAGATCACTCTCGATCTCCTCCCCTACCTTTCCCGACCGCTTCTCCTTAGTCCTCTCTTCTACCGCCGCCGAGAACGTCGCCTCCGACAATTGAGGCGTCGATACTTGTCCTCCAATCTCAGGCAAGCAATGCTCCTCAATCCGCCACTGTCCTGGACGAATTCGACGACATCGAGATCATTTGAAAATCGGCCCCCGACGAGGAGGAAGGAGAAGAAGACAACAACTGTGACGGGATGAATTACTTTCAGATCCATTTCGAGAAGCAACACAGGGAGAAGAATTTGGAAGGCTACTTGAGCCACAACATGACGGGGTCTTCCGCCGGGTTCCTAATCCTGTCTCTCGACTGGATCGTTGCGCTAGAATAAAGCTCTTCGACCGGGCCGCCGTCGTCCCATAGTTCAAGCACGACGAGAATCCCTATACATGTAATTACAGCTGGGGGTGTCGCGGCACGAGGAGTGGATCTCGGGACTGTCGGCGTGGTAAGTGTTGAAGCTTGGGCAGGTGGCCGATGTTCTTGCCGAGCAGGATATGGGACTGCTGCGTCGGTGTTGTGGTGCTACATCATACAACTACTGCATGTCAATTTCATCAACAATCGACATCACCCTGCTATTCTGGAGACCATTCTTTGTCTATGAGTCACGGGATCTGTTCGATTCATTCTTCTTGATTCTTGAACGATCCCCCCTCCCCCTGCCTTCTTCTTCTTCTCTTCCTAGGAGAAAGACATAAGATATGAGATACACCAACTACTGCAATTGAAGAGCCTCGGGTCAATGAAATTGAAAATCCAACTACTGCATTTAACTCATTTTAATTTTCATTGCAGATATGAGATACACCAATTTAGTTAACTTGTAATTGCAATTAGTGAGTACAAGTCAATTTTATAATTTTCCTAATGCAGAGCACAAGTCACTAAAACCAACCAGAAACAGAATAAACCAAATCACAAATATTTCTAACACCAAAAACCCCCTACTGCAAACCACAAACGCAATAAACAACCCACAAAAAACATACCGGAAACCTCCTAATGCAAACCACAAATTCGCTAAAACATATCAGAAACCCCACAAAGCAAACCATAAATATTTTGAAAAGCACACCAGAAACACCCTAATGCAAACCACAAACACGGTAAAGCAAAACACACAAAGCAAACAAAAAACGTCCTAATGCAGACCATAAATATATTAAAACAAACCAGAAACCTCGCAAAGCAAACCACAAAAGTTTCGAAAACACACCAGAAACCTCCTAATGCATACCACAAATCTCCTAAAACAAACCACAAATCTCACAAAGCAAACCACAACATTTGCGAAAGCACCCCAGAAACCTCCTAATGCAAACCACAAACACAGTAAATCAAACCACAAAAAAGTAAACTGGAAACGTCCTAATGACCACAAAAATATTAAAACAAACTAGAAACCCCTCAAAGCAAACCACAAATTTTTTGAAAGCGCACTAGAAACTTCTCAATGCAAACTAGAAACATGATAAAACAAACCACAAAAGACATACAAAAATATGAGAAACCAAACCATAGTTCTCACAATGCTATCCATAACATCCGGTGATCGTTGACCGTTGACCAAACTCCGACGGCCGTCAGTGAGCAGATTCCGATGCTGATAGGCATATTCCGGCCCCAATGACTAGATTCCGACGCCGGTAATCATATTCCGACCACGTTGAGCATATTTCGACAATGGTGGGCGTATTCCGATGATAAAATAGCATATTCCGCGACAAAAAGCATATTCCGGTGATCGACGACCAGATTCTGGCGACCGGTGGCCAAACTTTTGGGCAGAAAATAAAAAATATTTTTTATTTTTTAATTATTATTTAAACATATTTTTCATAAATGACAATTATACCCCTACTTTAATTTTACACTAGGTCAACTTTGCTAATAAAAAATTATCACACCCCTAACTTCCTATTGGTTGGAGACTAGTGTTGTTACAATAACAATACAAGGAGTGTTGTCACACTATCTAGTCCCCAACAAAACCTTTTTTTTCAATAAATAAAGGATTAATTGCGTGGTTGGTCACTGAGATTACAAAAAACGTTCAAGTTTGGTCACTAGAAATATTTAAATCCATTGGTGGTACTTCAGTTTACTGAAACCGTTCACGTTTGGTCACTCTCCGTCCAACTCCGTTAACTTTTACTAATGTGGCAGTCAACTCTCAAAGTTGACCGTTAACTTAGGGATGTGACAACTAAAAATTTATTAAAAATAAAAAATAAACTTTTGTATTTTCACCTCATTATTACATTCATTAAAAAATAAAAAAATAAAGAAGGATATGAGAGGGAGGGTGAACCTGTTGCTTCATAAAGTGATCGATAGTTTCATACAAGACTTCAAGAGCTTGATGGAACGAACATCATCATCGCCATCGTCATAGCACTCCCACCATCCATCCATCCTTCCATCTCCATATATCCTATGGAGAAGAGCTCGATGAGCAGCGGCAGCAGCAAGAGCAACATGGGTTCGGCCTCAGCGGCCATCAGCAGCTCCGATCTCATCGACGCCAAGCTCGAGGAGCACCAGCTTTGCGCCGGATCCACTCACTGCCCCGGCTGCGGCCACGAGCTCGTCAAGCCGGTACATAGCTCGTCATTTTCTATTTCAATTTCTGGACAAGGGGTTAACAGTGTGAATTTTACAGGGTGAGATCAAAGGTTTGACTGAAACAAAACTAAGCCAACTCCGATCGATGGAGGAGTTCACTTCAATTGAACGGGATAAGAACATCCCCGATGTTCTTGTGCCATAGATCCGCCAAATGTGTTGCCAAATTCTCCAGCGGGCTGGTCCCCGAGTACGCCGACTGCTGCACGCAGAACCCGATGAGCGCCAACAATGCCAGCCGACCGTTCTTGATCTCCTTGAGCTTGTACTCCTCGAGATTTTTCTAGTCTTTCGAGAAACCGAGCCGGTCGAACGCCCCGTCGGGGTACTTCCTCTTCTCCAGGTCCTTCTCCATGCTCCGCTGGTGCTCCACGAACGCAATGGACAAGAACTCGATCACCAGTATCGTCGGCAACGTCCCCCATGGCACCGGCTGCCCCAAGTAGCTCGCCTGACCGCCCGGCATCACCGCCCACGACTGCGCCTGCACCCAGTTCCCGAGCCCCAAATCCTCGGGGACCAGGATCCGGGGGACGGCGAGCATCGCCCATCTGTAGTGGATCATCTACGACTCCTTGAACCACTCCAGGTTCTCCGGAACGGTGCCCAATCCGAGCGGGTGGAACCCGAAGTCACTGCATTGTATCGTATATACGAGGGATCAATTCAATCACAGTTTTAGAGCTTTGGTATGATTAATTCTTTCTTATGGAGGCAACTAATACTCAAATCGAGCATAGTAAATTGGTAAATTGTTTCATACCCGGGGGCAGAGCCGTCGAGGTAGGCGGGTCGGGGCTGGTCGGACATCCATTCGGCGGACATGACGACTAGGCCGGGGGAGGCAACGGCGGGGAGAGGAACAGAGGAGGAAAATTTGGACCTGGAGGAAGAGAGGAGAGAGGGGAAGGCGATGGCGATGGCGAGGTCGCCGCGCTGCTCATCGACGAATTTGCCGCCATCTTCCCCCCGGTAGAAATTGAAGAATGAAAGAATGGAGAATGGGGCGAGAGAGGGAAAGAATAAATTGTGTGTGGCTGAAACAGGGGAGTTGTGAGAGCTTATGAATGATAACGCGAAGAAGATGGTACGGATAGAATCTGAAAATGGATTTGAATTGGCTAGAGGAAGCTTACAGGAGATACGTTATTGGGCCACGTCGGATTTCCCATATCCGGGTTTGTGAAATTTAGCGAAAGATATGAACACTCGATTTAACGTGGTTCTTCCTCACGTTGTGTGAGGCTTACATCCACGGTGGAAAGATGATACTTTTATTTCATATGGTGGCCATAGGCCTTACATGTATATTTATACCCTAATGCATCAATCTCTTCTAGGGTACAAGTCGGTTTGCAACTACGTGCAGGAGAAGAACAAGGTTTGCAACTTCGTGCAGGAGAAGGACAATTTGGTGGCTGCACTACGTGCGTCTCAAGGACGCCTGCATGGACCGCATGGCCTGTCCTGGGCTCGCCAGTCTTCTGGCCCAATACTCCCCCGCAAGGTGAGGCGTGGAGATCTCGAACGCTCAGCTTGGAAAGAAGGAAGTGAAAGCGATCCGCACCAAGACCCTTGGTGAGAATGTCGGCAAGCTGGTACTCTGTTCGAACCTTGACAGGAAGAATATCACCGGACTGTACTCGTTCACGAACAAAATGGCAATCCATTTCCACATGTTTGGTGCGCTCGTGGAAAACGGGATTATTGGCGATGTGTAGAGCAGCCTGATTATCACAATGAAGAGGAGTAGGCGTGGACTGCGGGACGCCGAGCTCTTGAAGTAGCCAGCGTAACCAAATGAGTTCACTAACAGTACTAGCCATTGCCCGATATTCAGCCTCGGCGGAAGAACGGGCTACAACCCTTTGTTTCTTCGTTCGCCAGGAAATGGGGGCACCTCCCAAACTAACAAAATAGCCTGTAGTAGAACGACGAGTCTGTTCACAACCACCCCAGTCAGCATCACAATAAGCAGTAAGACGGAGGGGATTATCCCTCGGAAAAAACAAGCCCTGTCCTGGAGAGGATTTGAGATAGCGCAGAATGCGGAAGACTGCATCAAGGTGCTGCTGGGTAGGAGCATGAACAAACTGACTCAACAGGTTGACAGCATAAGTGATATCCGGGCGAGTAATCGTCAAATAAAGCAGACGACCCACGAGGCGACGGTAGACGGACGGATCAGGAAGGGGAGCAGTACTCACACGAGTTAAGTGATGATTCTGCTCGATAGGAAATGCACTAGGACGTGTACCCTGAACACCTGCATCTTCAAGGATGTCCAGTACATATTTACGTTGACTGAGCACCACCCCGCTAGCAATACGCGCTAGCTCAATACCCAAGAAATAACGAAGTTGGCCAAGATCCTTAATGCTGAACCTGTCGTGGAGGAATGTCTTGACTTGATCGATAAAGACTAAGTCATTACCCGCTAGAATAACATCATCGACATAGATTAGGGCAGTGACAAAGGTGTGTCCATGCCGATAGATGAATAGCGAGGCATCAGCAGCTGAAGACCGGAAACCAAATTCACAAAGTGCAGAGGTGAATTTCTGGTACCAGTTGCGGGAGGCCTGACGAAGTCCATAGATAGATTTGTGTAACCGACAAACCCGTGTATCACCAGGCTTGCGAAAACCCTCAGGAATTTCCATGTAAACTTCCTCCTGAAGATCACCGTGAAGGAAGGCGTTATTGACATCCAGCTGATGAAGATGCCAGCCCTTACTAACTGCCACGGCGATAAGGCATCGAACTGTGACCAGCTTCGCTACAGGAGCAAAAGTATCATGGAAGTCAAGGCCTTCAATCTGGGTGTAACCTTTGGCGACAAGTCGCGCCTTGTATCGTTCTATGGTCCCGTCAGGAAAGAACTTAATTTTGTAGACCCATTTCGAGGCAATAGCACGCTTCCCAGGGGGAAGGAAAACGAGGCTCCAAGTCCCATTTTGCTCGAGGGCAGCAACCTCACGAGCCATAGCTTCCCGCCAGCAGGCTTCTCGGACTGCTTGATAGAAATAGCGGGGCTCGTCAAAGCGGGTTTGAGCTGCAAGAAACGAGCGATAGGGACCTTTAAAACGTGAATAATCAACAAAAGCAGCAAGAGGATAATTGACAGGGTGAGAGACACTTCCCTGTGCATTATTTGATGTGAACTGAGTGTCATAAGTCGCCAGATGCTTTGGGCGAAACCGTTCACGATCGCCGCGTCGCAAAACTGGAGCTGGACTTGCGGCAGCTGGACTTGGATGTGGGCCTGTCGTGGAGTGAAGAGGCCCAGAAGTATCGGTTCCGTCGCTGGTAGAGGAGGACGGCCCAGGGGACGCGAGAGTGGGTCCTGGTGTCCTGGGCTCGGAAGTGGACCCAGAATCCGCAGCAGCAGCCGGCCCATTAGGCGAAGCAGACTCAGGCGGCCCAGAATCCACAGTCGCAGGAGGCCTGTTAGGCGAGTTAGGCTCGGGCGATCCAGGAGGGACTTCAGCGTCACCATGGAGAGGAGAATCAGAAGCAGTGTCATCATGAGGTGAGATCGCTGGTCTGGGTATCCAGTGAAGCTCATGACGAGTATCATCCTGCATGGGAAATAAATTCTCGTGGAATTGAACATCACGAGAAGTAATTAATCGTCGAGATAATAAATCGAAAATGCGATAACCCTTCTGCGAAGCTGCATAACCCAAGAAAACGCCAGCACGACCACGATCCGCAAATTTATCGAGATGAGCATGAGTGTCTTTGTAGTACACCAAACATCCGAAAACTCGCAGATGATGATAAGGGGCAACCTTGCCGAAAAGTAACTCATGTGGACTTTTGCCGGTGGCTTTAGTTGGAAGCCTGTTGATGAGGTACACAGCTGTGAGAACACATTCTCCCCAGAATTTGATAGGTAAGCTGGCTTGAAATCTCAGTGCTCGAGCCGTCTCCAGGATGTGACGGTGTTTCCTTTCGACTACACCGTTCTGCTGAGGAGTGTCTGTGCAGGACGTTTGTAGTAAAATGCCCTCATGAGCATAAAAGGCCTTCAAATCATCTGTGTTGAACTCATGTCCATTGTCAGCCTGAATGCGTTTAACAGAACATCCAAACTGCGTACGAATCATGTGACAAAATTGCATCAAAGATTTACCAACGTCAGACTTATATCTCAATAGATAAACCCAAACTCCACGTGTGAAATCATCAACGATAGTCAAAAAATAATGGGCTCCACTAAGAGATGCAACCTTATATCCTCCCCAAATATCAACATGAATAAGTTCAAACTTGGACCTTGTCTTAATCGAGCTAGAAACAAAAGGTTCTCGTGTCTGTTTGGCCCTCAAACAAGAATGACAGGGTCCTTTATTACTGAAAGATACACCCAACAATGAACTGAGATATGTAAGCTTATCAAAAGAGGGATGCCCCAGTCGAGCATGCCACGTAGTCTCGGATACTGCAAGTCGTCGCTGTGCTGCACAAGCCTGCGTCCGTCCATCTCCGAATAAACGCAAGTAGTACAAGCCATTGCGCAACTCACCCTTCCCAATCAACTTCCTGGAATGTAAGTCCTGAATGATGCAGAAATTTTCAAGAAAAATCAAAGCCACACGATTATCCTTGGTTAGTCGACTCACAGAGATGAGATTACATCGAAACTCAGGCACATGTAGTACACGGTCCAGGGTAAGACCATCCTGGAGCTTTACTGAACCCACATGCTTAACCGGTATGCTATCCCCATTTGGGATTCGAACAGGCTGCCCATTAGTATGTAATTCCTTGCTAGACAACATTGATTCATCCATAGTGATATGCTCATTGCAGCCAGAATCCAATAACCACTCAGAATCATAAGAAATCATACCTGCCATATGAGCTGCCGGGTCTTCTGATGGCTTTCCCGAATAGCCGAAAAATTGCTTGAGTTGTTCAAGCTGTGCGTTGGTGAAACCAGTAACTGGGCTTTGCTCCGAGTCCACTTGTGAAGCCTTGGGCTCACGTTGAGAGCCTTCCCGGTCCTGTCGATTTCGTCGCTGTTGAGGACGATCGCCTTGTCTTTCCCGTGTGCGATATCCGGGGGGATAACCAACAAGCTCATAGCAAGCTTCGCGCGCATGGCCCTGACGATGACAGTGAGTACACCTTGGCCTCTCGCGCTCTCGTTGCTCCCCCGTACCGCGCGACTCTCCTGACCCACGCGAGGAACGATCGGCGTCGCCTTTGGCAGCAAAAACGGCAGCTTCGGGCGATGATTTGCGGTTTTGAGTAATAGTTTTCTGTTGCTCTTCATTCAGTGCAATATGAAAAGCTTCAGCCAGCGTCGGGGTCGGCTTCATGGCCAAAATCTGGGTGCGAACCGCACCGAATGCATCGTCGAGGCCCATGAGGAAATCAAACAGGCGAGCACTCTCCTGTTGTTCGCGAGCCTTGCGAGATACACCACAGGTACACAGGCCACAGGTGCACACCGGCGGTGGAGTTATGGCCGCTGCCTCTTCCCAGAACGATCGTAAACTGGTGTAGAAGGCTGAAACGGTGTGCTTTTCTTGCTGAAGTAAACTGATCAAGCGCCGCAATTCGTAGGCACGGGAGGAGCTGCCTTGACCGAAGCGAGCGCGAAGATCCGTCCAAATCTCCGTGGCGTGCTCAGCGAAGCGGATACTGCTTCGAATTTCCTTATCCATGGATGTCTTCAACCATCCCTTCACCATTGCGTCGCAGCGTACCCAAGCTGCCTGCGCCTTAGGATCCGTTGGTTTGGGAATAGTGCCGTCAACGAACCCGTACTTATCTTTTGCAATAAGAGCATCCTTCATATCAAGGGACCATTCCCCATAATTGGATGCAGTAAGAACCTCCCCAACAAGCATGTTGCCGGGGCTATCGGAGCTGTGCAGCTGAAGAACCGACGGAAGGACGTCGTCGGTGGAGCTGGAAGAGACTCCCTTTTGCTTGTTGTCCTCGTCGCCGATAGTCATGGCGGCAAGATACTGTAAGACAAAAACTGGAGCTTAGAGCTCTGATACCATGTGAAATTTAGCGAAAGATATGAACACTCGATTTAACGTGGTTCTTCCTCACGTTGTGTGAGGCTTACATCCACGGTGGAAAGATGATACTTTTATTTCATATGGTGGCCATAGGCCTTACATGTATATTTATACCCTAATGCATCAATCTCTTCTAGGGTACAAGTCGGTTTGCAACTACGTGCAGGAGAAGAACAAGGTTTGCAACTTCGTGCAGGAGAAGGACAATTTGGTGGCTGCACTACGTGCGTCTCAAGGACGCCTGCATGGGCCGCATGGCCTGTCCTGGGCTCGCCAGTCTTCTGGCCCAATAGGGTTCGGTTCGGATTGCCTACGTGGAGTTCTCCATCCTTACGTTATTAGGCCACGTCGGATTTCCCATAACCGAGTTTGCTGTCACTCATTGACCCATCTTTAATAGAAATTAGGTTTTTTATCTTTTAATGAATGTAATAATGAGGTGGAAAATATAAAACTTTATTTTTTATTTTTAATAAATTTTTAGTTGCCACGTCATTAAGTTAACAGTCAATTTTGAGAGTTGACTGCCACATCAGCAAAAGTTAACGGAGTTGGACGGAGAGTGACCAAACGTGAACGGTTTCAGTAAACTGAAGTACCACCAATGGATTTAAATATCTCGAGTGACCAAATTTGAACTTTTTTGTAATCTTGATGACCAAATTTGAACTTTTTTGCAATTAACCCATATATTAAATTGCAAAAAGGTCTGGCTTATGTCATATAAATCCAAAATATAACTGAATGCGAATTGGTATAAAACAGAGGGTTAATAACTTAGTTTGGCCTGAACTATACACATACTTTCTACTTTGGCCCGTGGTATTGAAAATTGCTACTATGGCCTGAACTATGTAGCAAACTTCCTCATTTGGCCTGGAGGCGGGTTTGACCGTCAAAACAGACGGTCAAACCTGTTGACCGTTAGTCAATGTACACATAACCTGCCACGTCGTCATATTTTTTTTTCTTTTTTACAAAATTAATAATTCTTATTACAAAAAATAGATATATTAATAACTCTAAAAATAAATTAAAAGAACGAAAAAAATAAAAAAAAGCCTCCACCTCTCCCCCTCTCACCCAAAATCGGGAAAAAAGCTATCCCTTTCCCTTCTCCTAACCAATTTCTTCCCCCGAAACCCTACCCCTTCTCCGACGAGCCGCCGCCGCCGAGAATCAAAATCGCGCCCTCCTTTCTTCCACCCAGTTCCCTCGCCTCCTTTCTTCCATCTCACCAACGCTCTTCTTTCTTTCTTTCTTTCTATCGCAGCCTCCAGCAACAATGTCGAGGCGAGCTGGTAAAATCAGCAACCAAGCTTCAGTCTCTTTCGCTTCCGGTTCGTCGAATACAGCGAAGGTAAGATGCCAAGGCCACAATGCTCCCTTCATTGTGAATACCTCTCGCACAGAGGATAATCCTGGAAGGAAGTTCTATTCCTGCCCGTTTTGGAAAGATGTAAAGGAAGATTGCCGTTTTTTTTTGTTGGGTCGATGGTACTTCTGAATATGGAATAATGGAGGAGAATGAGCATCTGAAATTGAAAATGGAGGCACTTGAAGGGCGGTTTCGTAAGGCAGAAGAGAAGGCAAATAGAAGGAAACAAGAGAAATTGGCGATGCTAGAGGATTTGAAGAAGGTTACTGAGATTAGTGCAGCTAGTTTTATGGAATTGCAAAGTATGAGAAAGGTAATATGTGCACTACAAAGTCGAATGATTGTGTGTGCTGTCTTTGTAGCCATAGGCCTTATTGTAATGGTGTTAGTTCAATTATGAGTGAGGATTGTGGGTTCATTTGCAAGCAAATTCCTGTTTGTGATTGTAAGCTTACTTTGTGTGTGTTTGTTGAAGAATAAGCAACCTCCTGTTAGTAAAACTTTGTGCATAACAAGTGTGTACCCATAATTCATAAAGAAGTTAAACATTAACATTAGCTCCTTCATAGTGACATTAATACGAATGTTGAAAAATAGTGTTTTACAGTCACATTAGCTCCTGCTATCGAGAGCATGTACAAAAGGGGGAGCTAATTTAATTCCTATGACTCCAACTCGGACCTCAGTACTATGATTCAGAAACCATAAAAACTCAACTTAAAAACATGTCAAACACGAATGAGCATGACATACCCTAGCGTACATGTTCCCTGTATTCTCATAAACATATGTTCCGATCCCTTGCATAGCCCTTCACATTTCTCGGTCAGTCACACGTCTACTGATTGAGCCTACATGAGGAGCCTACACATCCATCCATCAATAATTGACAGCATAATTCATTACTCTCCACAACCATTCAACATTTTCGTGTAATTGTTCACTGAGGTGAGAAACATGTACCTGAATTCCAAAATTCATCGGACAAGTCCTTGCATTATGGTGCTCGGATCCACACTTAGAGCAACGCCCTTTCTTCCTTCTTCTTGGTGCCTGTTATCAACATTGTCAATTTTCACGTTGCAAACACAATAAAAGTGACATTTT